CTCGTATGTGCCTTTGAGAGAAATTTGCCGCTTGGGAAAATTTTTTCTCAGTTATTGACTTTTCACGCGTGATTTTTCCTGTTTCATGTGTACTATCTTTCTCCCCACACGACAGCAAAATCCTTGGAGAAAAGTAGGGAAATCTTTGGGAAATTCCGGATAAAGTGGTAGGAAATTGGGCGACGTAAAATATTTCTGTGAAAAACTGGAAAATGTGGGAAATTTATAGGAAGGTGTTGGGAAGGGGGGGGTACTGACAGCCTCTCTCGGGGAGGGGGGTCGTACCTACACCGCCATTTCACACATCACGATGCTGTATTCTGATCATAATGTTCGTGCCATTCATTTTTACCAATAGTTGTCGCTTAGCGTCTTACTGCTGCGGATGATGGGGTGGCTGACACCTCCCCACCCCATCATCCGCAGCAGTAAGACTGTAAGCGACCAGTACCTGTCCGAAGTGAAAGGTTATGAAGAATGATGATATCGCTGTGAATATGTTTGGTGCCATGTCAAAATCAACTAGAAGCGAGAAAGCATCGAAGATTACCAAAGGTTGAGCATATCATCCTTGGGAAATCCTTAATGAGAGGATCGCATTGATACATGTATGTACACCCATGGCAGAAAATCGGCGACTAAGCTTCAGAACTAAGTAGAAGACGCAAGAGAGCACTCAGATTATTGAAGGTTGAGTAGTTCTTAAAGGCAGCGCCCACGTTCACTTGATGTTCCTACGCCCTTTCTGGATATCATAGCCCTCCCCATAAGGATGCAGTATGTACTAGTTTTGCATCTCACAAAGGCGAGAGGATAGCGCCTATCGCTAGTAAAGAGTCGACCGCCCCGCCCACCTGGCGACCACGACGCCCAACTTCATTTCTAATGGTTGCCTGATGGTGCGGTTGTTCCATTGCTGCTTCTCTCCACGTCGTGTGGTGAGAGTGAGGTGATAAGGGGAAACAGCTGAAATCAACAAGTGAGAACTCGTGCAACCACTCCTTCTCTTCGCCTTAAGCACGTACAACCGCTATTCGGTATGAAACTCCTTATAGGGCATTTTGCATGTTTTCTTTTTGATTTTTCTTCACTAATAGGTTTCTTGCTGTTATTGAGCCGCATAATCATCAAATTTGAACGCGGGCGCTGCCTTTAAGGGAACCTCAATGGGATGGGCGTATTCAAGTACTGGATAAGGGCCGCATTCAACTTCCTGCTTCAGAGGGTTCTGTATTGGAGCAAAATGACAAGGAAATTCTGGGAAATCGGAGGCAAGGATGCGAGTGAAATTGGAGATTTGGGTAGGTCATATTATGAGTATGTCTTGCTTGAGACAGTGAGAGTTCCAATACCATTCGATCGGAAATCAATTGCGCAGCGTCAATGTTAGTGTTGTGATGTTGATCATTGAAAGAAAACAGTTACCCCCCGGTATTTCTTGAATGGTCAAGCGATAGCTACCTCATATCTGCTATGGGATAGCAGATATGAGGTAACAACGTTTTCTCTGCATACGGAGCGGGCTTTGGTGAAATTGTGATGAAAGCTTTATCGCTATTCTTCGGAAACAATGATTGCTTTGAGGGCGGCAAAATACTCCAGCTCAGCCCAAAAGATCGCTGATGCAATCCTTCAAAACTACTCACTACAGCGGGATGCCCACTCTCTCTCTCCACGGCCGCTTGATGTGGCACAGACGACCCATTAGTTAACTTCTGGAGCCCATTTGGGAAGTATAGTTGATATCGTCGCAATCGGGAGGGGCGATTGCGACGATATCAATTATACTGTCGTCAGGAGTGGAATGAAAAAGAAATGAGTCCGTCTCCGGCCCCGCGTTCCCTACCAGTAGCAAACGGTGAATTGTCGACTCATGAAGAAAATGACTAGCCGTGAAAATGCCGCGTTGGCTCATCCCATCCTTCTTGACACCGCCCCGACTGATTGCGACGATATCAGCTGTACTGTCTGGACCTAGTGCCTTCCGGCAACCATTTGAAACACTTGCGTGAGAAGTAGCTCAATAATTGCGATCAGCTAGAAGGGAATTAAAGGCACTTGGCACGAGAAATCCATAAAACCGAGTAGGATTAATACGCATGGCAGGACGGAATTCCGCGACCTTGAGCAGGCGTGCTAGCGCCTTTTCCATAGAAGGGACCCTTATAAGGGCCCTATCAAGCTACAACATACCGACCCGAACGCTCACTACGCCCGCCCGCCCACAAATGGACGACCGAAGCAGATGCTCGCATCGCTTCATCTGCGAAGTAAAATATTCAGCGAAGGGATTGATATGAAGCGGCTGCGGTGCTGCATGGATATATAAGTACATGAGCAGCCGTATCTAATTATTGGCACGATGCCAACAGGAAACACGCCCAAAAGAGCTTTCCAAGTAGTGGAGGATAGAAGCTTTTTTGCGAGTTTTTGACCATTTCGTTTCGTTTTTCGCCATTATCTCACTATAAAGCACCCTTCCTACCATTTTGGACCGGGTTTTTTTATCTCTAATCAAAATTGCTCTTAACATTAAGCGGAAGGAGTTAGTAATGGAACATTCACACGTACGGAATGTTACACGTTGGGCGTGGCATAGGGCGTGGCACCTCATCTTCGTCACGAATGCTTAACCCACCTGTAACGTATTTTTTATTTATGATAGAATTAATAAAAAATTATCAAGTGGCCACTTAGTATTTTAATTTAAGTATTTTTTATTGGCAAGCCAACGGGAACCTCGTCCGAAATTGTGTCTTTAACTTGGGAGTGAAGGCCTTTCTTCGCGGGTTTTTCGACCGTTTCACTTTATTTCCGACATTTTCCCCACTATATAGCACCCCTGCTACTATTTTTTGGCGAATACCAAATTACCGTACCAACTGCCTTTAAACCGATTTCGACCTCTTCTCCCTTGACATCTTCGGAAGTTGAGTAGATAAACTGTCATTGGTCATTGATAGATAAGAATTGGGATTCGTTTCGTTTGGCTGAAGACGTGCTTTAATAGCTGTTAAAGCATGAGGAAATCCTTGAAATCCTTGTAGGACTTTCTGTTTTAACCCACTTTATCAATAGTTACCAATCAATGCAAATGGCATAGTCAGCTTATTCTCTAAAATTCTCTTTCTATATGAAGAAGAGAGAACTAATCTGTTTCCTTCGTTTTCGGAGAAAGCTATGATTACAGGTTTATTGTCTCTTATATTATCCACGGTATCATCATAATCAGATAGCCGCCGTTTTCCGGTTCGATTGTCCCTTTCCTTAGAGCGAAGATAGCAAATCCAGGTCAGACTTTCGCTGTCACCCCACATGCAGGTCTTCGTTCAACTTCTCTTTCTTGCACTTGGTTGGTTTTTATTCGCTCATTGAAAGAGTCTACTCTCTGTAAAGTTTGTCTGTTGTTAAAGCTTTTGGTATTGAACTACTGTTACACTTTTGAAGTATGCAAATGTACTGCTTTTTTCAGCACTCGGTATTTGCGGGGTTGAAGTGGTTCCGAGAGCATCACCAATACGATCCACTGCGCAAAAGGAGATCCGAAGGTTTGAAGTGATTCCCGAGTGGTCGAATTAATCACCTAGCTAAATCACAAAAAAGAGGATGAGTGATCAGCTCCCATTTAGGGCACCTGTCTACAAGCCGGCTAATGCAGCTCCACGTGCGCATGGATTCAAAAGAACTTCAACTGGGGTCAGAAGAGCTCCACACACTTCCGCCTCATCCCCAAAACCTCAGAAACCGAAGCCAATCCGAGCACCGCTGTCGGTGCCTGCCATTCCACTTCCATCAATGTTGCCAATGAATATGCCACTCGTCACCTTCCCACCGATGATGTCCATGCCGACTCTTCCCACATTTGCAACAATTCCCATGCCTACTTTACCTGGACTTACAATGCCTCCTTCCTTTCAACGTCTGATGGGTATCACTACACCCTCACCACGCAAATCGAAGCACGAAAAACATCAACACGAAAAGAGGGAACGCGACCGTGAAGAAGAGTACCAACCAAGACAACCTATTCAGAGCATGGAAGAGAGCCATGAAAGGTATGTTCCTTTTTAGAATAGTAAGTATATAATTAGGGAATCGATATGTCTAAACTCCACATTTTCCAGTTTTCACCTGGAAATTTCCCTGTGGAGCGAGGCGAGAGGCAGGGCGGGGAGAGAGGGGAGGGGGGCATATAGTATGCACGAAACATGAAAAATCACGAAAAGTCAACAACCGGGAAAAACTTCTCTCAAACGCACATACGACTTCCCTCCCCCAACAACGACCGAATACGACCCCCCTCCCCAGGGAAGGGACCACATGTGTTTCACACAACGATGCTGTACCCTGTTGCGTACTTTACTTGAACTTGGCGTGGGATGCGTTGTTCGTGGAATATTCCCATTTGCTGCGAGTGTTGTCCTATCTTGTACTGGACAAAGTCATGACTGAAACGTTCTGATACTGCTGTCAAATGAAGTACATAGCCACAGACGTTTTATCTCTGAAATATGTAAATAATTTGCAAACTTTGGGGCAAACGACCACTACAGGGAGCAGCATTCAAATTCGTCAAGGTTTTCTAATTCATTTCATGCTATTTGGGAAGAATATCAGAATACTGGGAAGAATATTCATTGGGTGTTAAGTTCACATAAAGTTTTGTGCAGGGATACTGCGGAAAGGCAAGGAGAGGTAGTGAGAACGTGGTCCGAACACTGGTACCTAGACCGGCTATTACGGTTGGTATCAGGTACTCCCACCGCTTGACCATGCCATTTTCTAGACGTCCTGCAAACTGATAAGAGCTAACTGGGTCGCTAGTAGAGCATATAGAGTCGTTTTCGCTGCAGACGCTAGGGCGTGTCAGGGAAGCTTTGTTCGGCACGGCGCCAGCCCGTTTCCCACCTATTATTGTCGCCTGTCCCTTCGACCACTGGCACCCCCTCCCCTACGCCTGATTCAGACTTGCAAGTTCTTGCTCGGGAAGTTTGTTTCGTCATGTGAAACCTTCCTTTCCATGAGAAGATAGGTTCACTACTACTGGGCCCTATTCTTTTTTAGCTCACGGTCAGGCAATTGTTGTCTATAATCCCTGTATCCATTACTGCAACCCCAGATTTGCGTGAGGAGTTCTCCAAATCTTCTCCAGCTAGCGGATTTCTGCCGCTGACTGCACAGCAGAACTAGCCCGTTTAGCAAGGTGGTACACTGCACATACCAGCCATGGAGTGGGTGTGGCTGCATACTTCACTTGAACATTGCGTAGGATGCGCTGATTGTGGGGGGTGGAGGGAAATTTCTCTTTGATACCACTATTTCCCTTTTTTTGTACTGTACAAAGTCGTGATTGCACCTGTTCTTATACTACAATATCCGTCTAGAAGCGCAGCTACCGCATCGTTTGAATGAAGTGTGCAGCTCAACTCTCCATCTCTAGGATATGGAGTGTAGTTCTCGCTGCGCATTTCCTAGCAATGGAAGCATTCTTATCCTGACTGTCCTATCTGTTGCAGCGACCAGTCACAAAGGCTCTCGCCCGTCTCATCTCGACTGCCCAAGTTCGTCAATTCCAGAAAAGTACCAGTGATTGCACCGGAGACGAATGCCGACTGGATTGTACCATTTTAACTCTTTTGGATCTGATATACTACCTCAGGAGCTCAGTTGACTGACATGTGTATAGAAAATCGTAATAAACCTTAATAATTTAGTATATTGTGCTTATGTGCATCTCCTTCACTTGTGGATGATTTCATATGGATATAAGGAGTAGAACCGGAATTAAAGATAATACTGCCGTCCCTCGTGCCTACAGCAGTCGCCTGCAGTACCGCAGTCTACCTCTATTTTTTTACAGCACTGGAGTCTATTTCTCTACATTTCCCATTTCTTTGAGAGAGAGAGAGATAGTCAACAGGTCTGTAATTCTGAGCATACTTGGAAACTTTTCCGGTCTCACTCTTTAGAGATCTCAGCATGATCTTCGATTCCGAGAACATCCCAAGACCCGCATCCGGAACGCGGTACCTTCTCGCAACAACTCCTGAGGGAAGCGTAACATACGCTCCTCATCATTATGCAGAGCGTGCGCGGCGGTGTTTGGCGGCGGCTGGTGTGAGACTCGGCTGTGACGCGACGTCGATTAGACAGTCCGCGTCATCAGCCGAAGTCACAGCGAGGCGCGGCTACTCCGCCCACCGCGTTGCAATGGTGAGACGACATATATTCAGCATAAGGGTATATACAGAGAGGAGGCTGAAAGAGAGACTCTTTTTCCTGCGACTCTCAAGACGAAATAAGTTTACGCATGTATCATGTTTTAGTTCTGGTCGGGTTCTCGCCAATATATTCAACAACACGGATTCAACGAACTTCTGCCCGCATCTTTTCGACAAAGAACAAACGTCAATCGAGAGATATTGTCGCGCCCGTGGCTCGTGCCATGAATTCAGCGAGTCGTTGATTTCTCCAGCATTGGCAACTTTTTACAGGAGGTTACACATTGTTGCTGCTGTTTAAATTTTTTTCAAAGTCTATGCTTCCATTGATAACCACTTATGCATTATTTGTTATTGATATACTATTGATAAATTATATGTTATTGATATATTTGCATATGTTATATTATACTACTTATTGTATATCATTTATTCTATATTAGTGACTATGAATAAACATTCGAGGTTGGCAATAAACACTCGCCGTGGTTGCGAGCAGTGTTCCTTGGATAGAATGATCACAATATGTCAAAATACTTCCCGGTGCATGAAAGTTTAGCTCAAGTCCTATTTTGCTCAGGATAGAGTCGTTATTGCGTTAAGAAGTGAGAGCAATAGGAAGGTGTGACTCTGTGCGAGAAGAGTAAAGCTTTATTCCAAACAAATACGACATGAGGTACAAGGGAAAATACGTAGAAAATATTAGTCGCCATGCAGAATATATTCACAGTATTCACAAGCAACAAGCGGAGTAGCAAGCAATCGGTTTGGGAAAGATGGGGTGGTGTCAGAAAGCCCACCCTCTATTTTTTTCCTCCGATGCGACCCTCGTTCCCGTTTTCATCCTATCAACTCCCCTCCAATGCTCAAGTGCCATGTCCGACCAGATTTTCTCAACGAAGCTGTGCTCTCTTTACAAAGAAATTGCACATGTCTGTTTTCCGCTTGTAAGGTCCATCGCTCGTCACAGGGCACCGCTTGCATCCATGTATGAAACAATGCAAGTCATGCCCTTTCATCAGTTGGGTGGCGACTTATTGTAGAAGAAAACGACCTGTTAAATGTGCGATTCAGTGGTAATGTACCGTGACATTCGGCGACAATACGTAGTTATCGTTGCCGTCCGAATGAATGCGTTCCGGCGAGGAATGACTTTGAACCGCGCCATCTCTCTATGCGACAACGTCGCCGAATATTCATTGCATGGAGCCGCTTCGGTTCCGCTCTCCCCTGTAAATAAATTGTGTTGGGAAGGAGATTAATGTGATAGAGGGAGTGAAAACTAACTTGTTCAGCATTGACGAGTATTCCTCTTGCCTTCGCTACGAAGCCGTGCAATGCGAGAATGAGGTCTCCCATGCGAGGGTTCTTTACTCCAAGCACTATGCCCACTTCTCTGAAAGCTAGATATATTATGATCGTGACATGGAAGCATTTTGAAACCGCGAACAAACCTGCTGAACGCTTTGTCCCGATCAGGGACTTGTTTCGTTTGTGCTAGAAAGAGCTGGTTCTGTTAAGGTTTATTCGAACCGACTCCTGGCGAATGCGCCCCGTATCAGCGGGCACCCCCCTTTTATAGGGACCAAGAGCTGATACGGGGGAGCAAATACAAGTCACAAAGAATAGAGTTCAAGCGTAACCAGGAGAGTCTAAACGAGTGCCTAGTAAATAATGCTATCAAGGGGGTTAAGCGACCCTCACATATAATACTATCAAAGAGGTAGCGACTCCCTAGTAAATAATGGTATCTAAGAGGTCGCGCGGAGCGAGACACGCTTCAACCGTGCGAGAATCCTTCTTAGTTGCACATGTCTCCGGAAAGGCTCTTACACCAGTCGCTCTGGAGGTTCTCAAGGAAGTGTGTGCAGCTCGCATACGTACCATGTCCACTAGGGAGGCAATTCCCGGAGAAAGGTTATGTGCCCTAATCCCGACATTCATTTTTGGCGCAAGTGCCAAACATGTCATATTCGTGACTAACCAGTTTATTACCATGGATAATATCGAAAACTAGATGAAAAATTCGATATCTTTGGACTATAACAGTCGAACAGTACTTAACAGCCCCGACACTAGGGAAGGTCGTCAGGTCGAAGTGGCCATTTGTGATGAGATGTAGATCACTAGACGTGGTTTTGGACGCTGATCTTGAATCTGCCTTCAAAATTTGCAAAGCGATTCTCTGAACCGAGTTATGGAGCCGCGTTTACCACGCAACAGGTCATGGGATCGGATCCCTGCTGAGCTTAACTTTTTTGCTTGTTGCGCAAACGTGGCAAAAAGTGATTTTGCCGTCACTACTACTTCAGTTCTCACCTGAGCTTGTCTGAAGAAAAGTTTGCCTCCATTTATTACTGCGCTTGGACTCCTTGTAGAAGCACTGTAGTGCACTGTAGTCTACAAGGAGTCCAAGCGCAGTAATAAATGGAGGCAAACTTTTCTTCAGACAAGCTCAGGTGAGAACTGAAGTAGTAGTGACGGCAAAATCACTTTTTGCCACGTTTGCGCAACAAGCAAAAAAGTTAAGCTCAGCAGGGATCCGATCCCATGACCTGTTGCGTGGTAACGCGCTCCATAACTCCGTTCAGAGAATCGCTTTGCAAATTTTGAAGGCAGATTCAAGATCAGCGTCCAAAACCACGTCCCCCCCCCCTCCCCCCCCCCCCCCCCCCCCCCCCCCCCCCCCGCCCCCCCCCCCGTTCTAGTGATACTACAACTCATCCAAATGGCCACTTCGTAACCTGACGACCTCCCATAGTTAGAGATCTGGTCTCTGGCAACTCATACAAAACCCGTATCGGTTAAGAAAAGCTATACTCTAGCTAATCAGTGATCACACAACTAGTGATTGATGCGAATAGGGGAATGCAGGTTCGAGGCCGCTGCAGACATCAAAGTCCAAAGTACGCTACGAACGTCGTTCCGTCGCAAACCGTAGCGCGCTAGTAAAATCAATATCATGCCACTACGATAGGCATCATATCCATCTCTGAATATTTAGTTGTGTTATTCTATACCAGAAAGCGGTTTCGTCGGCGATTACCAACAATGTTTGCCAAAACATGCTTTCCTAATTTACAACAGATCAAACATCTACTATTCGTCAAAATGCAGCCCTCAAATTGCCTTTACATCCAAGGCGCAAGTTATCGATTCAGGATAATTCTGCGGGGGTTTGTTTTGCTGGTGCTTACGTTGAGTTGAGTGGTGTATGTTTCATGAAAAAGTAACTCTGGCTTAACTTCCGCACAGTACTGATTAAAGTATTTAGTAGGACCGTATTCGTTTTATGCCGTAATAATAGTTAAATAAATAAAAAGTAGGAAATAGCAAAATTTGAACGCTCAATTCAAAATTCGGAATTCTATGAAGAATTTTTGGGTTGTGTTACTCCATAGGCTGCCGCCACAGCAGTGGAATACACTCAGAACTGGAACTATTGATTGGAAACGTTGACGAATAGTCCCACTCATTCCAGCTGACGCATAACGTTTGAAAGAGGGAGTGTTTGAGCTAATCACGAATATTTTTCTCAGTGACATTCTTTTTTGAAAAAGGAAGGGGTAATAAATGAAGTGAGCGTGATTATGAGATTTATGTTGCTCTTATGAACAAAACTCTCATAAACACATGAACTTACTTGTACTGTCCTTGATCTCATTAACTAATTCCATAAAATGTCATTTCGAAGGTGTCCAAGGAGGCCTATATAAATGTGCCTTAGGCTTATATAAATGTGCCCTATGTCGTGGGTGGGCTGTATCAAATGCCATGTCAAATCCTTCGAAGCAAGCGATAGAATTAGTGTAGAGGTTCGACTTTTGAAGAACAGAAGTAAAGATCGCTAGGAGGTAATCCTTTTGATTATTGACCTCGGACAGAGTGCTATTCTTTTTGGTGACATTTTCCGTGACAGTTGGATGGGCGGAGTCACCAGCATTGTGCTTCGTGACTGGTGCGTCCCCTCTCCAGGCATGGTGGATTTGATTATGGCAGTGTCCGCCTATTCCATAGCAATCTGATTATCGAGGAATGTGCCTTTAGCGGATGTAGATTCGTTTGATTGATCGAGAGCACGACAGCGAGGGTGGGTACTGCTTATCCGTGATAGAACGTCTCAGGATACTTGTCGACCACGAAGCTTCCCTGCCTCCTTTCTTTTTTCGTTCACCTTCCTTCTTTTCCCTCCTTCCTTCTCTCTTCCCTCTTCCTTTTCCTGCTCCCTTCAACTGATGGGCACCAAATACGATGAGAAAATACCTCTGGACCCTAGCAGCGAGATCGTGTCCGGTTGATAAATGCCCTGTTACCGTGGCGTCTTTATCAAGCCCCCTCTAGCCGTTAAGTAGTATATCCATTGCCTCGCGCAGCAGGGCTCCTGTAAGCCGATTTACTGTAGACTTTTCTTTGAGCCGGAGAATTCAACAATCGAAGAAAATTTCCACCAAGCGTAGTACGGCCGCCCCCACCGTCGAGGGATCCTCCATGTGTACTTCCCCTCACTACTACAGTGTCATAAAGTCCATAGCCTATGAGGCGAAAGATTTGATTTTCTTTTGTTCGACCGTCCATGAACCTTTACATCGTGTGAGGTGTTGTCTTCATTCGATGTTGTAGTCACGATCAAGGTGCTCTAACGAAATTTCTGTGAAATTCTAAAAAATTGAAAATTGGTATCTCGAACTCGTAAGTCCAAATTTTCAAAATTTCTGCTCGAACTACTTGTTAGTGTTCTCGCAGAAATACACCCCAGACTTAAAAGGGATATCGGACTGCTAAAAGAGGTGGAAACATGCACGACCTTAAGACGGAAGACGTTCGCAGCGATACGTTAGGTTCTTCTCATTTGTTTCCTCCTCTCGCTACTTCTTCATGCTCCCTTGTTCTTGTTCAGTTGGTTTCGATCTACTGCACCTTGAGGCGCCTTCGTCTGCAAAAGTTTTCT